TTTCATCTATCTTTGCAGGATCCATAATGGAGACGACTTGGCGACTATGTGTTGTTACAATGTAGCTTAGATTGTAGCATATATGCAGAGATCGTCAATGGTTCTAGAAATAATATTTCATCTTTGATAGGCAAACTGGTGAAGGATTGAAGTTCCAACATCATTGGTAAACCGGTGCCTCGTCTTGTTTATCTCCGTCTTTGTACAGGGAAATAGAAACTAGGTTTTGTCCCCTTTTAATTTAGTACTATAACTTTAGCTTATAAACAAATATTATTGTGGTTGATGACACTAGTATCTGCCTAAGTTGGTAAAAGGTGTGCCAAGAAACAAACAGTACTATAATACCAATATGAGACGCAGTGTAATGAATGGACACCAAATTGGAACAATTGTTGTTTTCACAAAATAATATTTATTTCTCCACCAGTTGTAGTCACTGTTTCCCAGCAGTGCAACCTCAAGAAGAAAATCGAGCAAAAATATTGGCACTTCCATGTCTGCACAAAAGAGTTTGTAGAGATGTGCGCTTGGAAAAGTCAATGTACTCGGTTATAGATTTAGTACTTTTTGAGTACCGAATTTTAATTCGTGAAAGCATGACTAAAATGGCATAATTAAGGAAATGGATGGATTGGATGGATATTGATTGAATTGTTAATGCATGGATTAAAATAATCCATTAATCCATTAACAATCCACTAAATTTTTTTTAAAATTATCTAATCCAATCCATCCATTAAAAATAAAATCCATCTAATACCATCAATTAACATATTTTTAATGGATGGATATCCATTCATTCAATTTTTTTTTTTATTTCGTAAAAATAAATATATTTTTTTATTTTATTTTTGAAAAATTTATTTTTTGTATTTAAAAAAAAATATTTTTTAATATATTTATTAAAAAAAGTGAATTTTTTGTATTTTAAAAAAAATTGATATTTTAATTTTTGAAAAATATCGGTATTTTTTCAAAAAAAAAAGTCGGTTTTGTTTTTCGAGAAAAAAATTTATTTTTTTTTGAAAAATAAATCAATTTTTTATTCTAAAAAAAACTGATTTTTTTCAAAAAGAAAAATCGATTTTTTTTTCAAATAAAAAAGTCGGTTTTTTTTTTCGAAAAACTAATCAGTTTTTTATTTTGAAAAAAAATTGATTTTTTTTCTTAAAAAAAAGTCAGTTTTTTTTCGAAAAACAAATCAGTTTTTTATTTTTAAAAAAAAAACCGATTTTTTTCCAAAAAAAAGTCGTTTTTTTTTTGAGAAAAAATTTTATTTTATTTTTGAAAAATAAATCATTTTTTTATTCAGAAAAAAAAATTGATTTTTATCAAAAAAAACAGATTTTTTAAAAATAAAATGAAACTTTTGTTTTTAAAAAAAAAACTTCATTTTTTCGAAAAAGAATATAGTTTTTAAAAATAAATCTAACGAAAATAAAAATAATTCATTGGATCCTTAAAATATGTTGGATGAATTGAATCCATCCATACATATAAATGGATGGATTTAATCCAATCCATTAACTTATTTTTTGTGTGGTGGTTGGATTAGATGGATTTGATGAATTTTGTCTTAATGGATTCAATTGCCACCTCTAGGCAGAATCACGTGTTGTGTTTTAGCGGCTCAGCGGCTGTTTGTAGTGTTTTGGTGGTGTTCTACTGTTGCGGAAGACTGAACATAGTGTTAAAGACAAAGACAATTCCAAAACTTATCTCCACAACATTCACTGCCGGAGACTAAAAATAATGTCAAACGTACTTACAAAACGTATTCAGAGACTGAACATTGTGTCAAAGGTGGAGACTGAACATAGTGTCAAAGGTGGAGACTGAACATAGAGGTGGAGACTGAATATAGTGTCAAAGACAGTTTGAAATGAATGTCCACAAAATTCACTAAGGAGACTGAACATAATGGCAAAGGCTTTCCAAAATATAGTCCACAAAATTCACTTGAACATAGTGTTGTCAAAGGCAGTTCCAAAATATAGTCTACAAAAATTCATAAACATCGGAGATTGAATAGTGTCAAAGACATTTCTAAAACGTATGTTCACAAAATTGTTCACAAAATTCACTAAAGCCAAAGACCGAATATATTGTCAGAGGCAATTCCAAAACTTATGTCCACAAAATTCAAAATTGTATGTTCACAAAATTCACTAACGCCAGAGACCGAACATATTGTCATTTCGAAACTTATGTCCACAAAATTCACTAACGTAGAGATTGAATATAGTGTCAAAGATGGTTCTAAAATGTAATTCACTAACGTTAGAGACCAAATTTAATGTCAAAGGCAGTTCCAAATCGTATGTCTACAAAATTCACTAACGTCAAATTTAATGGGAATGGTGAGAGCTATGTGAAATGGAACTATTCCGTTGAAGTTAATTTCAAAGGAATGAGAAATGATAGACATTTAATAGAAAAATGTTTTAAAAAATAATCAAAGGCAATAATAATATTAATATGGAATACAAGGTCTTATTTGTGAATTCTGATGATAAAAGATTCAATCTATTATTTTTTATTGCAAGAGTTGTAGATTTTATTAACATTTATTTATGGTAAATTTGATAATTTAAATCACATTTATACTCATTTACAAGAGGTTTTTCAACTCCATGCAAGACAAACTTAAGATTATGAATTATTTTTTGAGTTTAAGCAATATACATGGGAGTTAATTTCTCTTCTAGCATGCAAATATGACGAATATATGAAAATCTATCAAATATATGTTAATTCAATAAAATAAATTTGTAACCTCAAGTTAAACTTCTAGTCTTGATTCAAAATATGAGGTTGTTTGATCCAAAACTAGTTGATAATTTTATTAATGTTTTCTCTTAGATTATACGTCTTCATTTGTGTAATCACACCTTATTACTACATACTTTAGCCATAGGTCGAGGTGATTTTACTACCTACTTGAGCCATAGGTCGAGGTGATTTTACTACCTACTTGAGCCATAGGTCGAGGTGATTTTTATAATAGAGGTAGTTGCAGTGGTTGTGATCATGTTGGTGACAATTATGATGCCCTAGTCTGGTGATTTAGTCATGGTCATGTTGGTGACAGTCGAGGTGCCCAACCCTAGTCTTCATTTTTAACACTGTTCTTTGTCTTATATTTACCCTAACTCCTCTAGTCTTCTTTCATTATTCAAATAAATTATTGATTAAAATGTTATGCAACTTCCTTGAATCTTGTGTATCTCATGACCTTTTTACACATATTATTGAAAGAGGAATAATATCTAATGAAATGTATCTATTTAAGAAGTTTTACATGTGATTCTATAAGTTCTGCATGTTATGATGATAATGTTTGTGGTTTTGATGATGACAAAAGAACAAAGTTAAAATAATTACGAGCATTATCTAAGTATAAAAGATTGAAATTATCAAAAAGTGAAGCTAAAAAGATCAAATATTGAGAGTAAAGATACTCAAATATAAATATCAATATCAAAAGGAACCGAAAACTTTTAAAAGCTTACATGAACTTGTGTCTATTTATAACTTTTTGTGTTTAGGATAAATAATGTGTAACTAAGTGTGAGTAGTTTTTAAAGTGCTAATGCAATGTGCATACACACTCAAAATAATTTTACAAAAAAATCATCTATTTCAAAAAAATAAATTTAAAATCAGTTATGCCCACTAACTAATTGATTAAGAAGCGTCCTAATCAATTAGGAAAGTAAAATTTCGCTCTCCAATAGATTAGAACTATATCTAATTGGATAAGGAATGAACTCACCACCTAATCAATTAAGAACCTTTTTAATCAATTAGACTATGAATCTGATTAGTTTGTTTCCAAAGTTGCAATGTCTAATTGATTAGAGAATTGTCTTGATCCAATGATTATTTCCTTTCTTCATTAATTTTTTCTCTTATATAAAGGAGTCTTTGCGCACTCTTCTAATTACGAAAATATGATTTTATATTCTTCTTTCCTACTCACTCTCTTGATAAGTGTGTCTCAATATGAATCCAAATGTGACACATGTTAGATCATGAATAAGAGGCGAACGAGTTATTTCCACATCTCATTACTTTTTTATATTACATATAGGAGTAGAAAACGAGCATGGTCATTTCGTTTAGACCCGTAATAAAACAGAAAAACGGGAGAAATCGAACGTGATTGAAGGTGTGGAGCTAAAACATTATCCAACCCCTAAAAAAAATGAGAGTCAAATGAGATGGGCATGCAGACTTTGCACCCCAAAAGAAAAACTAGTTAAAATTCTTGTTAATTTCCGCGTCCACAAAAGTTTGAAAAAAATAAGAATGCGCGAGACGAACATATTAGAGGTGCAAATCTAAAATCATAATTGCACCAATAAAAATTGCAAAAAAACGAGAAATAGACAAAGTCTGTTTTATCATCCCTAATTATGAATATTTTACTATTTTGTAATTTAAATTCTTATAAAAAATATATCTAAATTAATTTTTTTTTTGGTATATTTTGAAATTTTATTATTCAAAAAAGTGTAAATAAACAATTAAATATTTAAAATATTTTCTTTTTAAAATTATTCAAATAAATTTTTATTAAATACTTTTATATAAAATTATATAATACTATAAAATTGTTTTAAAAAACTATAATAAACCCCTCCTAATAAAGCATTGAAATAATTTAATTAATCTAGAATGTGTTAGACGTTGAATCAGATCATGTTTTAAATTATAAGACACTTTGATAAAAGGAATTTATTTTAAATTATAAATGACTCTTACAATTCCAACATAATTAATGAATAACATTATTAATTATTTTTGTTATAAAAAAGTTTATGTGAATCAGATTCCTCAAGCTTCAACAAACATTTATAGAGATATAGATGTAATTCTGAGTATTAGAGTATTAAATAGAAGAAATAAAAATGTTACTACCATAAATACACACACTTTTGCTTTACTTTTTGACTGTGAGTCTCTGAGTATGTGAGTGAGTCCCAAGTAACAGCATGTCATTGACGATAGCACCGACTTCATCCATTGACGATGAAAATCAACATCTCAATCACAATCCAACCACTTCAACGGGAAGAGAATTGAAGATGATTACCCCGTCACGGTTCAACCTCCCCGATGATTGGCTGGTTCAGCAAAGACGCCGTATCTCTAACCCCGACCACGTTGACAAGGTAACCTTCATTTTCTTCCACTTAATTTCATTTTTCATGCATGTATGCATCTTTTCACTGCATTTTATGCACATATATATAGTTTCTGATTCTGTTGTATGCACAATGTGGAAATGGTGTAGGGATTACATGCTTTGGTTGTGTTTTTGAACTCTTTCTATTAATTAATTTTGAATTCAACACTTAGGGTTTGTAAATATACAAATTATTAGATGATTAATGTTGAAGTTTAAAATGCTTCCAATAAGTGTTTACATTCTCAACTTACTCTGCACTATGTAACACTGACCCCTCTTAAAAAAGTTTTCAGTGTATGTGTCTGTGTTTGAAACCGACACTTGTGATTACATTTAATTTATCTAACTTTTAAAATTATTAGCGATGTTGACATGTCAATGTCGGTGTTGTGTTTCCAGTGTTCGTCCTTCATAGTTGACTGAGATGAATTTATGCATTTCTATTAAAGGGTTAGTGCTTCATTTGAAAAATCGAGAAAACCACATGAATAAGATAAATCAATGTGAACTAGAATCAATTCAAATTGAGCCTGTATAGCTAAACAGCATTGCTTATAATATACACAAAAGTTAGGAAATGAAGTTATAATTCCTTGCTATGCTTTATATCTATAGTTAGCACATTTAGGCTTGGATTCTCTGTTATTATTCTTTGGATCATCATTGTGTTGTTTTCATCTCATTTTTTGAAACTCCGCGAGTAATTGCTAAAACCATTTGGAAATTCATCCCTTCCTGCATTGATTTAATTTGTTTTTTTTCCAGTATTACATAGAGCCGCACACTGGACATAAGTTTCGTTCTTTGATATCTGTTCAGAGATATCTAAACGGAGAATCAAGAGACTGTCTTCCTACTGAAAGAATGATATCAGAAAACAAAATCACTGTAAGCTCTAATTTCATGTTTACATCAGTTTCTAGTATGTCTCTTTAGTCAATGACAGGAGAAACATAGTGGCATCGATCCAGATGTTTGAAAAGATAATGAAATACGTTTAGATACTCAAACAAAACATTTTGTAATTTTTTGGATAAATTTGGTTTATAAGATTGTAGGAAGCATAAAAGTTTTTCTTAATCATTCAGCTATTTCTTCGAGAATAAGCCAGATATAGATTGTTTTGCTGCAAGATGAAGTTACAGTACTGATTTTGCTTTATTGTATATGATGGAAATTACATTCATTCTTGATATAAAATAATGAAGCTTCCCGATGATTGGCTGGTTCAGCAAAGACGCCGTATCTCTAACCCCAACCACATTGACAAGGTAACCATCTTTTCTCTTCCCCTTAATTTCATTTTTCATGCATGCATGCATCTTTTCACTGCATATATAATTTGTGTTTGCTAGGCATGTACCGTGTGACAATGGTGTAGGGATTGGAGAGTTTGATTGTGTTTTCGGACTCTTTCTATTAATTCATTTTGAATTCAACACTTAGGGTTTGTAAATATACAAATTATTAGAGAAAACCTGATTCATGTTGAAGTTTCAAATGCTTCCCGTAAGTGTTTTCATTCTCAACACTCTTACTGTTGACTACCTACTTGTGCACTCTTAGCACCGACACCTCTGAAAAAGTGTCTATTGAAACCGACACTAACACTTGTGATTACGTTGAATTTATTTATTTTTTCAAATTATTTGCTGGTGTCGACGTGTCAATGTTTGTGTTGTGTTCCGGTGTCCGTCCTTCATAGTTGACGAGATGAATTTATGCATGTCAATTAAAGGGTGAGTGCTTCATTTGAAAAATCGAGAAAACCACATAAATAAGATAAATCAATGTGAACTAGAACCAATTCAAATTGAGCCTATATAGCTAAACAGCATTGCTTATAATATACACAAAAGCTAGGAAAGGAAGTTTTAATAGCTTGCTATGCTTTATATCTATAGTTACCACATTTAGGCTTGGATTCTCTGTTATAATTTTTTGGCTCATCAATGTGTTGTTCTTGTCTCACTTTTTGAAACTCCACAAGTAATTTATAAAACCATTTGGAAATTCTTCCTTTCCTGTATTGATTTAATTTTTTTTTCTTCAGTATTACATAGAGCCACACACTGGACAGAAGTTCCGTTCTTTGATATCTGTTAAGAAATATCTAAATGAAGAAACAAGAAACTATCTTCCTACTGAAAGAATGATGTTAGAAAACAAAAACACTGTAAGTTCTAATTTCATGTTTACATCAGTTTCTAGTGCGTCTCTTTACTTAGTGACAGGAGGAACATGGGGCATCTATCCCGATGTTTGAAAAGATAATGAAATACGTCTAGATACTGAAACAGATCATTTTGTAAATGTTTTTTTGAATAAATTTGGTTTATAAGATTGTAGGAAGCATAAATGTTTTTCTTAATCATTAATCATTCAGCTGTTTCCCGACAATAAGCCAAATATAGATTGTTTGGCTGCATGATGAAGTTCTAGTACTGTTTTTACTTCAATGTATATGATGGAAATTACCTTCATTCTTGATAGAGATAATGAAAGAGTCACTGAAAAAGTAAATAATAAAAGGCAATAAAAATTGATGTCTGTGATTCTTTTAATTTGATTAATTGTTTGACTAAAAATGAAAAATTGGATTCCAATTTATGTTAAAAGCTAGATTTCTTATCGGCTAGGCTATAGTAGTGAGTTCTCCACTGTAGGCTTTCATCGACTTGATCTGTGCTATATATACTGCAGACTGGCATCAAGTCTAGGACTAAACAAAAGTTTCGTCCTGCAAGAGATTTTGAGGGACATTCAAACGGAGAAAATGCATGTCGAGCTACACCCAAGGTGCCTAAACCAACAATTTACTCTAAATCCAACTATATAATATTTGACAGTGTAAATTTTTTTACCAAGTCATCCAATCACTTTTCAATAATGATGTCAGTTTGTTATATTGATTCATAACTATGTAAGTGATAAGATCTAATTGTACGTTTGTGTAGAAACGTTTTACACTGTTAGTGTATTGTCTTGTCTTTATTCTTTTAATAATGTGGTGGTATCAAGTATCAATCCACAGTAAGTTTGAGAACTGTAGTCTTTAGTACAAGAACTGACCGACCTTACATTCAGTATAACTAATTGAATTTCTTTTCAAGGATTTCAAAAGAACTCATTATAGGAAGAAAATCAAAACGGGGAAAGATGACATAACAAGACCACCAATAAAAGTAAGATGGGTTTTATCTGGTCCCGGTGGCTTTTGGAACCCTTTCCTTAATGGTTCTATTGTACCAGTATCTGAAAAGACAAAATGGTCCAAAGAATTTTCAATATCTATCAATGAAGAGGTTACTAATGGATATACTAGACCTAATAGTTGAGGTAAGTTTGAACCATGTGATATCCGTTTTCATGTAATCTGACACCTTGAAAAGCGCTGATATCGCTTTTTACATGATCTCATCCAACTTTGCAGGTAAAACAATGGAGATAACAGGACATATTGGTGAAGATGTGTTGTTACCACGTAGCTTAGGTTGTAGCATATATTTTGCGTCATACTGGTTCTAGGAATACTTTTTTATTTTTGTGTTGCACCTTCAAGAACCTTGTTGCTGGTGAAAGATTGAAGTTTCAACCCTATCAAACATCAGTCTTAAAACTGAGACAATGTTCATTTTGCTCTGTCTTTATACAGAGATTAACTATCCTATGTCTTCTATTGCGGTTGGTGTCAATATGACTATGTTGTGTAGTAAGCAACAAACAAGAATTATAATCCACGGCAACCGATGTTTTTTCTAGATGCCACATATTTCCATGAATGATTTTCCACATTTCCTTCAGCCTTGCCAATGCTCTTTGTGCAACCATTCTTGTTTCCAAATGCAGCCTATTCAACTTTGCTTTCTGTTCTGATTCCAAGAGGTCTTTCTCTTGATAAGGAACAAGGTAAGGAAATAGAGGGTAACATGAATCACCAATAATGTATTCCTTTATTTCTGATGCTTTAGAAAATTTCATAATTTTTCCATTTAGTCTCTTTCCTTTGTCGCAAAGTTTGTTGACATTCGAACTCTCGAAACAAGCAGTCCTTCAATTTACCAGGCCAACTGGTGACTATGTTGCGGAATTTCATGTCAGGATCAACTAATGCTTGCAAAACCATGCCGGGATTGTTTTTGTGATCAAGCCACACGTCACTCGAGTGTTCGGATGCAGGTAAACATATTGTGATGTGAGTAACATGAATGGCGCCGCGGCAATTGGAGAACCGACGTATTTTCTCAAATTTTGACTTGATTGTATTCATTTCCTCTTGTGTTGAAGGCCATTGTAGATGCTTAAGCGCCCTTTCTTCCATGAAAACCACAAAACAAATTGCAGAAGCATCATTAATCTCTTGTCAGTTTTCTTGTTTTGATTCCTCTCACAGGATCCATCACAAACAAGTAGTTAAGTTGAACCAGTAATTTTGAGGTGGAAACAAAGTCTGAAAGAAAGTATTCAAAGGGTCAGAGAGAAAAACAAGATTCATCATTATCACAATATATATTAAGAGAGTATAAGTAATAACACATCACTTACTGTACATGTGTTTGAAGCAAGGGAAGTGATATGATATATATGTAATTGTGAAGGAAGAGAAAGAGAATCAAAACATGCAAAAAGAGAAAGACAATTCGTAGCTTAGAAACTTCACTTGTGCCTCATTCACTTCGAGCTTCGTAGTTTATTTGTAAAATAGTTGTTTGGTTGTCACAAGTAAAGTTATATCGACCTCGTTCAATCTAATTATGTATATAAATAACAATATAATTATATCAAATATAGATTATTTTTCTTGTTATTTTTGAAAAGCAGATAGTTTATTTTCATTCATTGTACCCATGTAAATATAAGTTTTATATTATCAGCATATGAAACTATGGATCAAACTATGCATTAAGCAAGCATCATTCGAACATGTTTTGCGTTCGTGATAAGGTTTGGGTTTTTTTCTTCTCATTTTAAAAGATGGGCTATAATGCATGTATAAAAAAGGTTTTGGAGGCTAAACACCTGTACGAACCACATTCCTTATCTTTTCTCATGTTGACCACCTTATTTTTTGAAACTCTTTTAATGACTAAAGTTGATATTATTTTCGTGTGAATTAAATTATTTTTCAAAGGGACTTGATGTGGTAGAGATGATTTGCGTGCACAATATTTATTAGACGCATTACGTGGAGAAGATTTTGTTGTGCTCAGAGATATCTTAAGTGCAATCATTATAGTTATTAACTTATGGTTGGGAAGGAGATGTTTGATAAGTTTGGTAGATATCTTAAGTGCAATCACTATAGTTATTAACCTATGGTTGGGAAGGAGATGTTTGATAAGTTTGATAGAGTTTGTTGCCTCTGCACCCTTTACGTCGTTATTAAAACCTGGTGGTGGGATGCAACCAATTATTGTGGATACAATATGGAGGCAGTTGGTATCCAAGGTTGTAATGAAAAGGGTAAAAAAAGATGTGACACAATATCTCAATAGCTTCCTATTTAGGGGTCGTGGCATCGGGTGGTACTGATGTCATTTTGCACAATGCCAACAAGATGTTGAGCAAGCGACATAGAGATGGCTCTTTGGCTATACTCGCAATAGATTTCACAAATACTTTCAATGTGGTAGATCGATCAACATTACTACGAGAGATAAGGGTGAAATGCTCATCTATTTTATTGTGGGTTGAGTTTCTTTATGGTCAAGCAACAAGGTTATACCTTGGGGATGAACATATTATGTTAGCCACTAGAGTGCAATAAGGTGACCTGTTAAGGCTGCTCCATTTTGCTCGTGTTACACCCATATATTGATCATATTAGAGACAATTGTAAGTTTCTTCTTCATGTCTGATATATTGACGATGAGATCTTCATATGAGATTTAGAGGAGGTGGCTAAATCTCTTGACACCATTCGAGAGTCGGGTCCAAGATTATATCTCTAACTGAATATTCGTAAAAATGAGATCTTTTGACTCTCATGTGATGGTAATAAAATTTGTGGGGATTCCTTATGGATATTGGGAGGCCGATGTTGGAGATGAAGTTGCTTGGAAGGGCTGTTAGTCGAGATGAAGGCTTTATCAAGGCATTTTTCATGAAGAAAACGGCCAATGATGTTGAGTTAATGCATCTTCTACCATAACTAAGGGATCCTCAGAGTGAAGTTCTTCTACTTGGATTCTGCTGAAGATAGGAAAAACACTTAGAAGGGGGGGTTGAACAAGGGTTTTAAAAACAATTAAGATGATAGAAAAATAACAAGGTATTTTTATCCTGGTTCGTTTGAACTCAAACTACTCCAGTCCACCCTACCAAGGTGATTTGCCTTTCTCAACAAGGACTTAATCCACTAAATCAAACTGATTACAGTGTTAACCACTAAGACAAACAGTCTTAGTCTTCTCAAGAAATCTGACCACACTTGGTCTCTTAAGGAATCTTTTACAAAAGATAAACTAACAATGTGTTTAAGAGTTGCTTTTGAAAAGCTATATCACAACTGTGATTTTTACACAAGTTTAAGAATGAAATAAAAACTATTCAGCTTTGAAGAATGTTTGTATGAGTTGCTTATTGAATAATTTGTCATGTGATTTGTCAACTTTGAAGTGATGCTGAGACTTGCTTTTATAGTACTTGAAGTCCATTTCTCAAAGACTGTGCAACACTGTGCATTCTGTTGCTTTTGTCTTCTATTGACTTTTTCTTTCTTAGAAGGGGAATGTTCAGACAAATCCTTTTTGTCTGAATTCCTGTGTCATGCACGAATGAGGAAAGAGCCATTTGGATAAGGACAAGGAATATGCCAACGAATCTTTATTTGAACAACATTTTCTTCAACAACTTTGGAACGTCTTGCATCAGATCCTCTGATGATGTTCCTAGTTCTTCAGATTAGAGTTACTCTAATAGAGTTTTGTAGCAAAGTGCTTTTAGCATGAATATATTTATCAGAGCAGACTTGCTTATCAGAGCCTCTGTAATTGCAGCATTAAGTACTTCCAGAGTCTTTTGAAACTTTACTGTATGTTCTTTACTCATATTCTTCTCAGCTTCGCTCAGAGTCATCTGTAGCAGATCAGAGTCTTCTGATGTATTGCTTCTGACGCTAAGAGCTTTATCGTTCTGTAGTGTTCAGAGGCGTTCTTGCTTCCAGAATAATATTAACTTTGATATCTGAAACAAATAAACACTTGAACAGAATTAGAGTATATATTTATTTTATACAAAATTTCATTAATGTTATCATCAAAACAATGAGATATATTAAACACCAATTTGTGTTCTAACATCTGCATGAGTATTGCCAAACTCTTTTTTTGGCATAAGAGCGTGTCAATTTAATCACATGAAGAAAACAACTATTTAGTTTGATAAATAGTTGCATATGATGGTTGAAGACACTGTGGTTGGTGGAAGTCTTTTATTCAAGGACCTTCAATGAGGGTGACTTCCTTACCTACTAGAGTTGGGAGATTGAGTTTGTACTCGATAGTTGAGGTTACCTCATAAGATTTTGTGGCATTTAGGGACCAATCTTGAGTGTTGTAAGATCATGTATTGAGAGAGAATGGGATATATGGAATGGAATTTGATTTCGACCGACCTTTGGATGATCTTAGTGTTGTGGTTCTAGATTTTGACTTTAGCAGTTTTAATAGCAAGAACATCGTTCCTCTTATAACACAACATGATTTGGTGATCGCCCTTTTTAAAAATGTTTAGGACATGGATGTAAAGTTTGACATGACCACAAGATAGAAAACAATTTTTTGGTTGTTTGCAAGCAACACATGCTCAGGATTTTCTCCTTGCTATTCCTATTGATGGACTCAGTCAACATATGTCCCTGATAAATACCGTACTATCCTTAAATATCACCTTATAATTCCCTTATTTTATATTGATGAGGTTTACATTGTTTTCTGCAAGGCATGTTTAAATACATTTGGAGAACTCACAATCCATTGCAGGGAGCTTCTGATGACGAGAAAACGCATCGATTATATCGCTAGATTTCATTGACGTTTTATCGCGCATTCACCGTTTTGACGCTCGATTTCTCGAGTTTTTCTTACTATTTTGCAGGTACATCGTTATGTGAGGCCGAATCATGAATTAAGAAGAAAGGAACGAAAGAAACCACAAGAAATGAAGCAAGACAGAAGCCTGCAAAAAGTCTGCATAATTTGTTACGGCCACGGTCGTTACAAGGGTGTCACGACCGTGACACCTTACTTTGGGCCATCACGACCGTGAGGAAGCAGTCACGACCGTGACACTTAAAATCATCAAATAACGAGCGTGAAGACCTTGTCACGCCCGTGAC